AAATCTGCTGTCAGAGATATATCCAGAGTACTGAAAAGAAATTATGTCAGTCTAGAGACTAAGGCATGCCTGATCCAAGCCATGATCATTGTGATTACTTGCTATGCATCAGAGAAGTAGACAATGAGTAAGAATGACAGAAAAGTCAATGCCTTCGACTTGTGGTGCTGGAGAAAGTCTTGAACCTAGCATAGATTGCAAAAAAAAAAAAAAAAAAAACAACCCCAAAAAAACACCCCAAAACCAAATAGGTCTGTCTTGGAGAGAGTGAAATCAAGTCTCTACTTGGAGCCTAGGATTTTGAAGATCTGTCTCACAAACTTTGGGCACATGGACAGGAGAGACCTATCCTTGGAGAAGGATGTCATGCTTGGAAGGGTGGAAGGACAGCACAGGAGAGGAAGACTGCAGATGAGATAGATCAATATAGTCACTGGGGCAATGGGGGTTGTTGTGTCAAATTTAGTGAGACTGACACAGGACAGAGCGAGGTTCAGAGCTGCTGTATATTGGGTTGCTATGGGTGACTCAATGGCACATAACAACAACAGGTTGTTAATGAGTCAAAATTGACTTAATGGCAATGAGTTGTTTTGTTTTGCTTTTTTAAATAAAATTTGTATTATACATAAGTTTACTTAAAAGCTTGCATATGTTGTTTTTCACACTAGATCTTTCCCATTTCCTTTACCCACTCTTCTCACCACCCATCAAATTGTGCAATTATATGATTAACCACACCATCCTCTGCCCATCCCCACCCCTCTGCTCCCATCATCCTCCCCTTAGATCCTCATACACTTTCTATAATAATCTCATACAGTATTTGTCCTTATGAGACTTAGTTCACTTAGCATAATTCTCTTCAGTACCTCCCAAATTATATAGTAATTTACAAAATCATTGCTCCTGAATGCTGTGTAGTATTCCATTGTCTTTATGTACCATACTTTCTCAATCCATTAGATTGTGATTGGACATTTGGGCTGTTTCCATGTTCTTGTGATGGACATGCTATGACTACTATGACGGACTGCTATAAACATTGGTGTACAAGTCTCTGTGTCTCAGTTCTCATTTTCTGAGTATATTCCAAGCAGTGGAACAGCTGGGTCCTATGGAATGTCTATTTTCAGCTTTCTGAGGAAATGCCGAAGTGCCTTGTAGTGTGGTTGAGTGGTTGCACCATTTTACAACCCCACCAACAGTGTATAAGAGTTCCTATCTCATTAATAAAATCCAAATAATTTAGGTATTTGCCTTTTTCAATCAACCAAATAAACCAAAAGACCAAAATTAAAGCTAAACCAGCAAAATGACCCCTTCCTTTGCTGAATGGAAAAGCATAAACTCTGGAATACAAAATGAGCTATTGTTTTCATTAGGTATTTGGTAGTCTAAGCTTTGAAATTTGGAAGACAGTCATCTGACTGACCGGCTGGAGAAGATACATATTTGTTCTCATACCCAAAAAAAGGTGATCTAGTAGACTGTGGAAATTATTGAACAATATCAATAATATCATATACAAGTAAAATTTTGTTAAAGATTATCTAAAAATGGCTGAAACAGTATATTAACAGGGAATTTTTACAAATTGAAGCTCAATTCAGAATATGCTGTGCAATATCATTGCTGATGGCCTATGGATCTTGGCTGAAAGCAAAGAATACCAGAAAGATGTTTGTATTTTATTGGTTATGCAAAGACATTTGGTTCTGTGGATCATAAAAAATTATGGATAGCATTCAGAAGAATGGCAACTCTAGAACACCTAATTGTGCTCGTATAAAACCTGTATTTAGACCAAGTCATTCAAACAGAACAAGGGTATATTGTATGTTTTAAAATTAGGGAAGGTGTGCATCAGGGTTGTAGCCTTTCTCCATATCTATTTAATCTTTTATTGTTGTTGTTGTTGTTGTTAGGTGCCATCGAGTACAGCGACCCTATGACAAAAGATCTGAACCCTATGCTATCTTGCACCATCATCACACTTCCTGACACATGAGAGCCCAGTGCAGCAGACACAAGAGCCCACTGCAGCAGTCACCTTGTCAATCTACCTGGTTGAATGTCTTCCTCTCCCTTGCCGACCCTCCACCCTTCCCAACATCATTCTCCAAGGAATAGCACCTCCTAGAAATATGTCCAAAATATGTGAGGCAAAGCCTCATCATTCTTCCTCCAAAGAGCATTCCAGCTGCACCATCTCCAAGATGTATCTGTTTGATTTCTTGGCTGTCCATGGAATGCTCAGTGCTATTCTCCAACACCACAGCTCAAAGGTGTCAATTCTTTTTCTTTCAGCCTTATTCATTGTCCAGCTCTCAGATGCCTGGCTAGTAATCGGAAAGACCATGGCCTGAATCAGATGCACCTTAGTCCTCATACTGACATCACCACTCCTCAGTAATTTGGAAAGGTCATTAACTGCAGATTTTCCCTTTGCAATGCATCTCCTATTTCTTGACTGCTCTTACCAAGGGTGTTAATTGTGGATCCAAGTAAGATGAAGCTGTTGACAGTTTCAATCTCCTCTCCATCCATCATGATACTGCCTACTGGTCCAGTGGTAAGAATCTTTGTTTTCTTAACATGGAGATGCAATCCATACTGAAGGCTGCATTCCTTGATTCTCTGCAACAAGTACTTCAAATCCTCCTCACTTTCTGAAAGTAAGGTTGTGTCATCTGCATAACGTAGGTTATGAGTCTCCCTCCAATCCTGATGCCACATTTCTCTTCATAGAATCCAGTTTCTTGGATAATTTTCTCAAAATATATATAGAACAGATATGGAGATAGAAGGCATCCCTGATGCTCTCCCTTCCCAATTCCAAATCATGCAGGGCTCCCCTTCTCTGTTTGCACAACAGCCTCCTGATGCAGGTATTGGTTCCTCATGAGCATAATCAAGTGCTCTGGGATTCCCATTCTTCTCAATGTCAGCCACAACTTGTCATGATCCAAACAGTCAAACTGTTTGGAGGTTTCTAATTGTGTGGACAGAGTTTTGGGGGAAAAGCATGGAAACAGGAGTGGCATCCAGTTCCAAAATGGCTTGCCTCTGGAAACTCTATGAACAGTGTTCAGGACTTTCATTCATAGGGTCGCTATCAGTCGTCTACGACTCGATGGCACCCAGCAACAACAACAACAACAATTGTGTTAGCAATCAAGTGTAAGCTGACTAACTGTATCTGATATACTTTATAATCAGCTTGGCTGGGAAGCCTCTGTGTGGACAAACAGGATTTTGTGGGTGGGACTTGGTATTTAAAATTTGGTTGGGCCCTTGGCCCTGCCATTGATCCTGTCGATTTAATCTGTATGCTGTGTAAATAATATGAGAAATTGAACTGTATGAAGAATGTGGTATCAGAATTGAAGGAAGATTCATCAACAACCTGCACTATGAAGATGATACCACCTTGCTTACAGGAAGCAAAGAGGGCTTAGAACATTTACTGCAGAAAGTCAAGTACTGTAGCCTTACCCATGGCTTACATCTCAACATCAAGAAAACAAAAATCTCCCCAAAGAGACCAATTAGTAAGTAACATGGTGATTGGGGAAAACATTGATGTTGTCAAGGATTTTATTTTACAAGGATCCAAAATCACTATCTATGGTAGAAACAGTCAAGAAATAATAATAAAAAAATCAACAAAAGTGTGGTTTTGGGAAAACCTGCTATTTAGGACCTTGTTAAAGTACTAAAGAACATGAATTTCAGTTTAAAGACCAAGGTGTGCCTGATCTAAGTAATGCTTTTTTGTTTTTGATGTGAGAGTTGGCCAGAGTACAAAGAAGACAGAAGAATGGATACCTTTGAACTGTGGTGTTAGCAACGAGTATTTAATAAAGAATGAAGAAACAAATCTCATTTTTTGGAGAATGTGCAACAAGGGTGCTTCATGGAGACAAAAATGGTAAAATTTGGTCTCACATGCTTGGCCATGTGGTCAGGAAGAGAAGGATTTCGGACATCATCTTCGGTTAAGTAAGACAGGGAAGACCCTCTACAAGCTGGATTGACACAGTGGCTCCAACAGTGGGCTCAAGCACAGAAGTGTTGAGCATAGGTGTCACTATAATACAGAACTAAGTAAATCACACTGAAGACACACCGAATATTGGTGATACACTACCAACTGTAAAACGTTACCGGTGTTTCATAAGAACTAAACTGGTAGTCTGAGAACTTGCATTTGAAGATCGGTCACTGATTGTGAGACGTTCATCTAGTAATTTATCAAGATGGCCCTGTTACTGTTTTACAGTGAAAAGAATTTAAAGCTTTTTTTTCTTGTGGTAGGGTTTTCTGAGATTGATTTAAAAAGCCTATTACAGTATTTCCTCCACTCTATCTGTTTTTAGGACCTCCTAGAAACTGCCTCTGGATACCCGCTGGAGGGTCAGCTATGGGTCTGTTCCGACTCTATGGTACACAACAATTACAGTTCTCTGCAGTCTTGCTATTTTGTATTTGGTGCGTTGTGATGCAAATACCTTAAGCATCACAGCTGCCTGACAGGATTTCCATTTAATGTATGTTATTTATAGGCGTCTGCAGCTGTGAACTGAGTGGTCTCGACACATATCTGAACATCAGAGAATCTCCTCTGGACTCCAGTGATCGAAGGACGTGTGGCGAGACAAGACTAACAACTGACACCAATTCCCCGAAGCGCCCACACTGTGACAGCCCTAATGGAGGGGCGGAGCCGACGTCCCCACGTTCCGGCGTGATGACGTCACATGGCGTGTCCCAGGGCCGCCGTCTGTTTGTGCTTGCGCGACCGTGGGGCTCGCTCCGAGAGGCCGCCTGGTGAGGAAGAGGCGGGGCTTGTGGCTTGTGGCCGCTCTGATGCTACTGGTGGATAACTTCTCCGGGTCTTTACCTCTAGGTAGAAACACGCCAGTGCATCCTTTGAGACACTTCTTGAGTTCCCTTTTCCAAAATTTCTTACCCTGGGCGGCTCAGCGCGGCCACTGTGACATGCCCAACTCGCGGTCTAGGTCCCGGCGAGGCGCCGGGGGTGGCTCCGGGGCGAGCGGCCGGGACGAGCTGGTGTCGCGGTCCTTGCAGAGCGCAGAGCACTGCCTCAGCGCCCAGGACTTCGGCACCGCCTATGCTCACTACCTGCTGGTGCTCAGCCTTGCGCCAGAGCTCAAAGAGGACGTGAAGGTGAGGGAGGATCTCTCTCCAGCCCCCTTTTTATCGGTAGATCCGCCAATCTGCTTGGCGGTGGTGCTGATGGGGGGCCGGGGATTGGAGAGGTGGGATGGTTAGCGTGCGTGCCTGGTGGTTGCTGTGTTTGGCTTTCTAGTTTGATTCACACTCACAAGCAGCACATGAGGAAACACTGTGGGCCTCCCCTTCAATCAAGCCCTCTTACCACTCTCACCACCTCCTTCACTACCCCAGTTTCAAACCTCAGTGTTCTCTTGTCCCACTTGTTGAAGGATCATTACCAAGCAGGTTTTCCTGTAACCTTTTTCCGTACTGCCAGCAAGTGGTTGTTTTGTTTTTTAAATACTTAAAGTCTCATGAGGTCACTGCATTTCAGTTTTCTACTCACACAGTATTGCAGAGTGTCCTTGGATGGCAAAAGAGGCCTCAGGTGGTCCTTTTCCTCCATCTGTATTCAGTCCTGCCTTTTCACAAAGCCGTTCTGTGTGTGGAAGAAAATTCTGGGCTTTTTGTACTTGAATAAAGTTTGTAGTTTAGTGTAAAGAAAGCACTCAATTATAATCTTCAATTACTGAATTGGGATTATTTTGTTGAAATGCTGTACTCCCTCCCCTTTCTTTCAGATATTAAAACTTTTAACATCGAACTTTTTGAATGTGATTTGCATAATTTTGTAGTTTGGGGCCTCAAACAGCTTACTTTTATTCCACATTTCTCAGTTCTAGCAGTGGAATCTTATTTCTAATATTAGATTTTTAGTTTTTTTAATTATGATTTTTATTTTTCAAATGTTGTATCAGATGGCAAAGATGATTCAGATGGTTCTGTTTTGGTAAAACTTGTGCTTTATATGTAGTGTAAATTTCAAAGCCAGTTGGCCCACTCTTAGGAGGTGATACACTCTTGTGGGAGGGCAGCAGTAAGAAAAATGGGCCAAAGTGTACTTTTTTTTTTCCCTTCATTTCCCTCACTTTATTTTTCCCTTCATTTCTTCTTTGTAAAATAGGTCTAATACTTCTTGCAGACTTTTAATGTGGTTTAGAAATATTTCTGAAATTCCTGTTGTAATTCCCAGAATTCAGTAAACTTAAGTAGTGTTTTTAGCACAACAAAATCTACATTTCTTTTCATAAATCCTTTGGAAAAGCACCATCTCTTCAGTCTTGTTTTCTGCTGCCTTCCTAAATCTTCTATACCCAAACAGCAGGCACACTATACTTATACCTGTAAACCCCATAATCCATCCTTTGCAATTTTTACTTTTCTGCCGTTTTACTCTAGAATCTCTTCTTGTCTCTCTGGTAATTGCCATTAGGATTTGGGAGTTTTTAAAATTTAACATCTATGTAAGAATTATTTAAAATGTGTTTATGACAGACAGTTCAGTTAACAAAATGGGCAGGGGACATGAAAAGACACTTTACCAGTGAAGATGTTGAGATGAAACAAACATGTGAAGATGTGCTCAAAATCATTAGCTGTTAGAGAAATGTAGATCAAAATAGTAATGACATATCTTCTGACTCTAAAATCAATATTAAAGACCACACAATAAATGCTCATGAGAGTATGGAGAGATGGGAACACTCACTGCTAATGGGCAGGAAAAATGGTATAACGGATAGGAAAATGGGCGCTTAAGAGCTACCACACAAATATTTGCACACATATGTTTATTGCACTGTTATTTACAATAACAAAGAGATGGAAACAACCTATGTGTCCATTAGTGGACAAGTACCGTGCAACACTAAAAACAATGAAAAATCTGTGAAACACTATTACTTGGCTCCACAGTCAACACTCTTGGTAACAGCAGCCAGGAAATCAAAAGACAAATTGCACTGGGAAAGTCAGCTGTAAGGGACCTCTCAAGAGTACTAAAGAGCAATGACGTCAGGCTGGAGACTAAGGTGCGCCCGATCCAGGCTATTGTCTTTGCAGTTACATGCTTTGTATGAGAGATGTCTTTGAGGTTTATCCTGGAGAAGGTGAAGCCGAATGATCCTTGGAGGGAAGGATTCTGAAGCTTCGTCTCACATACTTTGGGCATGTTGCAAGGAGAGACTGGCCCTTGGAGAGGGACATCATGTTTGGCAGAGTGGAGGGGTGGTGAAGAGAGGAAGACCTTCAGTGGAATGGATCGATTCTGTGACTGGAGTGGTGGGAATGAGTGCGTTTGAGATGGCTAGGTTGGCACAGGATGGAATGGCGTTTAGAGCTCTTGTACATAGGGTTGCTATGAATCACAAGCGACTCGATAGCACATAACAACAACAACATACAAGGTGGAGGCATCTCATCTAGAGGATTTTATGCTAAGTGAAATAAAATTAATCATGAAAGAACTATTGTGGTATAAGATCACTATTATAAAATACTGTGAAAAGGCTTAGACAATGATTAATTATTCATTATTAATGATAACTTGGAGAAGAGTGGTCATTTTGTCAAAAGTATGTCTATTTTTTGCTAAAGAGGTGTTAAGATAAGTTCATCTGCTGTTTGTTTAGTTAGCAAACAGTGACAGGAAAGTCAAAATATAAGACAGTCACTTTTGCAGTAGTGTGTAACTTCTGTTCCTTGTAGAATCTGGAACCAGCATCCTTTGTAATATTGAATCATTTACTATTTTTCTTTTTTTATAAAGGAAACTTTTCAGTATACACTCTTCAAATGGGCCGAAGAACTTTATGCTCTCAGTCGGATACAAGATTTACTTGGTTGCTACGAGCAGGCTTTGGAACTGTTTCCTGATGATGAAGTTATTTGCAATAGTATGGGAGAACATCTCTTCAGGTTAGTATCATTTAAGGATATATTATCAGAGGTAAATATCGAACAATTTAAACAGAGAAAGGGTAAAATAAAAAACTACAACAAAAGATTGGAAAAATTAGTGATTGACTATTGTTGCTGATTGCCTTCCAGTCAAGCATGACTTATAGTGACCCCATGACAAAAAAGGCCTGAAGCCACTCTACAACTATTGACAGTTATTAAAGTTCACAGAGTTTCCGGAGGCATGTTGTTTAGAAAGTGGATGCCACTCCTCATAAGTAGGAAAGAGAGGTCAACAGACTATAGGAATAGTGGGTTTAATATGTAATATCACATTTTAGTGTAATATACACAATAGCCACTGCCTTTTAGGCTGAGAGAGAGCATCCAGTGAAGAGTCCTCATCTCTGGGCTGAGCCAAGATTCACAGGATGACAGTGAAGTTTGCCCTGAGTGCCAGGGATAGCTGTCTATGGAGAGTTACACCATTACAGGCTGTCTCACCAGAGGTATCTCTCCATAACGTAACTGCCCAGGCTAGTTGTGCTAGGGGTAGCTGCTGCCCATTGAATTTGCTGGCATCAGGTACAAGGAAGCAACAATCTCTGCTCTTACAGCGTGTCTCTAGTACTTTCTACTGACAGAGATGAACATTCTGTCACCTGGGAAGGAATAGGGAGCTCTGGTGGTGAAGTCTATAGGGAGTTGCGTTGCTGATTCAAAAGTCATGACAGGAGTCCAGGGCAAAGGCTGCATAGTGGAGTGGGCTTGGGGGGAGGGATTGTAAAACAATGAAATAATTTTCTTTTACTTTGCCAAGAGGGTAGTGTACTATGGGGGAAGTTTGGGAGGGGAGAAAAGTCCAACAATGAATGAATGGAAATCCAAAAAAAAAAAAAAATAAAAAAAGAAAAGAAAAGAAAATCTAACTCCTTTGTTTGTAAACATTTGTTAAAATAACAATTAAAATAAAATTTTATTATTTAAAAAAAGTCATGCCTCTGGCAGTTTGAATCCACTAGCAGCTCCACAGGAGAAAAATGGGCACTTTCCCTCTCATGTGATTTACAACCTCTAAAAACCTGCAGGAGGGTCAGCCTTGGATGCCCACTAGACAGCAGTGAGTTTGAGGAAATTATTTTTAATGAAGATTATTAGAGGAGGCACAAGGATTAACTTTAACAAAACAGAGTTATATTAAGTGTCCTCAAGACCACTTCTAATTTTTATTTTAGTCATAGGACTATTCACATTCCTATTCATGGCTATGATTTATTGCAGTGAAAAGATACAGAACAAAGTCAGTGATTAGAAAAGATACATGGATCGAAGTATGGAAGAAGCAGGTGCAAGTTTCAGAAGGACCTCTTCTGGTAGAGTCATACCCCAAACCAATTCCAAGCCCACTGCTGTGGGGTCTGTTCTGACCCATAGCATCTCTATAGGACAGAGTAGTACTGCCTCATAGGGATTTTATGGCTGAAAAATCTTTGTAGAAAAATTGCCACATTTTCTCTTATGGAATGCCTGTTGTGTTTGAACCATTAATCTGTTGGGTAGCAGTCAAAGTGCTCTAACTACTATTGGGGCGCCTTGGTGTTACACAGAACATGCAAGTCTTATAGTAGTGAGTTGTGGACATGTGTGGAACTTTACCAACCAGAAGAGTTCATTAAAGATATAGTACCCAGGATTTTTACATGGGCCTAGTCATACTAGCTATGAGTCTATTCTGACTTGACGGTACACAGCAAGAGAGCAAGAACAGGGAGTTCTAGTGGCCTAGTAGTAAGAAGCTGTGCTGCAGTCCCAGAGGCATGCAGTTTGAATCCGTCAGCTATTTGAAGACAGAAAGATGGACAATTTCCTATGTGATTTATGGTCTCTGAAAACCCCTTGGAAGGTTAGCTGTGGGTCAGTTCTGTCACTCCCTAGTTACCAGAGAGCTCTGGTTGCCTAGTGTTAAGAAGCTGTGCTTCAATCTCAGAGTAACACGGTTCAAATTCACCTGCTGTTCCTCTGGAGAAGGATGGACAGTCTCCTCCCATGTGATTGTACTGCCTCTGACAACCCACTGGAGGAGTCAACTATGGGCTAGTTCAACTGAGGGGCATATAACAAGAAGAATAGCATTCATAGAAAGGACTCTGGCTCTGGTGGCTAAATAGTACAGAATTGTGGTGCTAACCAAAAATATTTCATTCAAATCCATGAATTCCTCTGTGGGAGAAAGATGAGCAGTGTCCTCCTATGCAACTTACTGTATCTGACAACCTGCTGGAGGGTCAGCTATAAGTCTGTTCTGAGTCAATGGTAGACAACAAGAAGTCAGCAAAGTACACTGCCTGGCGTGTGCCAGAATTCCAGCTCCCAGAAAACAAAGAAGTGTCCACTATAAATCACACTGCGTATACAGACAATTTAGGCACAATCTTCCAATCTTGTCAGGGCATTGGGAACCCTTCAGAAGTCTCAGGATCAATCTTGAGAGTAGGCCTTTCAAAGAATAGAGTTGTTTACTCTTCAGATATCTACATAAGCTAGTTTAGAAAAAGCACAGGAGCACAAGGAATAATAAAAACGTACACTAACAGATTTTCATTTAAAATGGAAGTGCTTCTCATCTGGCATATGACCATTGCCTTTTATTACAGTTTTGTCTCCTGGTTGATGTTTCAAAACGTCTTTGCTTAATTCATGCCCATAATGAAGTCTGTTTCACTTTCACTTCCTGACCCATGTGGATAAAATCCTTTCCAGGGCTTGTGAAACAGTATGAGTACAGAATGGTTCTAGTAACTCAGGTCTTTTGAATGGGTAATCCACACACTGATGTTTATCCACAGAATACCAGTTAATGATGGCTAAAATTAGAGTATTTAGAAATATGTTGAATTTGACATTGTACATTCAAGCATGTTTTCAGGAAGTTTTCTAGTTGAAAAACAGGCCAGGTTGAGTATTGAAGAACTCTAATGGGGCATAAGCTGATTATGTAATAGTACTGTATAAAATGAGATAGATTGAGTGTTACTTTTTATTTTAATATATAATTATGGCAATGTGTACAACTGTCATAAACTGGTCTATCAGCAAATACAGCTAATTCTTCTTGACCATTTAACTCAGCTGGTAAAGAGAAAAAGTGTGTAGGAATATCAGAGGAGAAGCTATTAGCCACAGACATTTATATACTCTGCAGATGTAATTGAGACAAGGAATGCAGCCTTTGGTATGGGTTGTACCTCAGTGTCAAGGAAACAAAGATTCTTACCACTGGACCAATAGGCAACATCATGATGGTTGTGGAAGAGTTTGAAACTGTCAACATCTTCATCTTACGTGGATCCACAATTAACACCCTTAGTACCAGCAGTCAGGAAATGAGACTCATTGAATTGGCAAAGTCTGCAGTTAGCGACCTCGCCAAATTATTGAGGAGTAATGAGGTCCGTGTCAGGACTAAGGTGTGTCTGATTAAGGCCATGATCTTTCCGCTCACTTGCTATGCATCTAAAACCTGGATGATAAGTAGGGATGACAGAAGAATTGTCGCCTTGAGCTTTGGTGTTGGAGAAGAGCACTGAATGTCCTATGGAAGGCCAAAAGAACAAACAGATATGTACTGGAGAGGGTGCAGCTGGAGTGTTCTTTGGAGGCAAGAATGATGAGGCTTCACACCATATACTTCAGACATGTTGCTGGTAGGGGCTATTCCTTGGAGAGGGGCATGATAGGTGAAGGAGAGGAAGACCCTCAACCAAGTGGATTGATGTGGTGCCTATCGCAATAGGCTCTAGTGTGTCAGGAAGTGTGAAGATGGCAGAAGATAGGAAAGGGTTTAGATCTGTTGTTCACATGGTCACTATGAGTTGTACTGGACTTGACAGCACCCAACAAGAATAATAATAGAGGGAATGGTTTTCAGAGAGTATTGAAGTTATAGTTGAATTGGTTAAGTAAAGACTAAGAGAGCTTCTACTTTATTTTTGTACAATAATAACTTATGATCAAGTACTTATTAATTTTTACAATGCATTAAATATAGTAGGAGTTCAGGTGAAGGAAGAAGTTTTTGAGAATTGTTGCCTTCACAGAAAACTTCCTAAAGGAGGTGGTCTTCAGTTTGGATAGGCTTTGGGGTACTGGTGAATGAAGGTTTAAAAGGCCAGCTCGTTACATGAAAAGAGGTACTACAATTGGTGGCACAGAGATAAATAATGTCTTTGTCATTTTTGGTTCTAGAATGGGCTTTCGAGATGAAGCAGCAGGTTATTTTCGTAAAGCAGTGAAGCTAAACCCTGATTTTAATGATGCAAAGGAGAATTTTTACCGTGTTGCAAACTGGTTGGTGGAACGTTGGCACTTTATCATGCTTAATGATGTTAAGAGGAATATGATTTACAATGCAGCAATCCAAAAGGCAGTTCATTTAGGATACAAAAGTGTTTTGGACATTGGAACAGGAACTGGAATACTAAGGTTTGTGGTAATTATATTTTAGTAATGTACATGTGTAATTGTATTAATAATGTAAATTAAAGTTATCAAATAAGGAAAAATTAGTGACATTTGAAGTTAAAAAATTAAGTCTTGTTTGTTACTTCTCATAATCTTGTTAGGGTTGGTTATTATGCAGCTTTTAATGAATTTTTCACTGACTTTTACTTTACCAAAATTGGACTTAAGTGCTAAGAATAATGTATAGTGATGATTAAAATTTTGAGTAGTTATTTTCAAGAGTATTTTTTTGTACTGTTTATCTAGTAGAACCTAGCTGTCTAATTTGAAAACTTACCCTTCTTGCCTGCTTTTTTTCTTAGAAAGTTGGATATCATGATTTAGTGTATGATGTGCCTTTACAAGAAATACTAGTTTCCTTTTTTTATGTGGACTAAATAGTGGTTGGATTAAAGAATAAAAGGAAAATCACGTCTTTAAACAACATAATCCATTAAGATTTGAAAAACATTGTTTGTTGTTATTGTTGATTGCCATAAAGTCAAGCATGACTCATAGCGATCTTATGAACAAAAGACCTGAAGCCTTTCTGTAACTTATTTTCATTTCTCCAAGTTCATTGAGTTTAGGAATTAGATGCCACTTCTGCTTCCAAACTTGTCTTAAACTGGGAGCTCCACCAAACACTGTCCACCATGAGCAGCCATGATGACATTTGACACCCCAGTGACCAAAGGTTCAGTATCACAGCAAACCCACATTACCTCAGCACCGCAAATTGACAGAAGAGTGCTGTATGACTTAGAAGAATGTTCCTCCAAAGTATGACGACAAACATTATGTGACAAACATTAGTGGATTGTTTTGTATTGATGGAGCATTTTCCCCCTCTTATAGCATGTTTGCTAAAAAGGCTGGGGCACAGTCGGTGTATGCCTGTGAGTTATCCAAGACCATGTATGAACTTGCCTGTGATGTAGTGGCAGCAAACAAGATGGAAGCAGAGATCAAACTCTTACATATGAAGTCACTGGACATAGAAATTCCAAAACATGTTCCTGAAAGGTACTAGAAAGTAATTTTAATATTTGTCATTCACTATTTTACTTTTTAAATTATCACACTACTCAACTACTCACATTCCTAGCTTCTGTTCCAAAGAAAAGTACTAAGCTCTTATTTTGGCATACAACAGATTTTTCATGTGATTATATTCTTTAAAAGAAATAATTTAAAGATCTTGAAATTTGTAGTAATAGAATTAATAAATAAGCTTTATAAGTTACTTACCTTTGTTAATCTTAGTGTTCTATTTTGTAAAAATGAAAAGTGCAATTTATGTAGTTAGTAACTACTTAAGAATTGTACTAAAATTTGTAATGAGTAGATTAAATCAGTTTATGTGGTCTTCAGTTTGTGTAAATAGCCTTCACTAAAATCCAAGTTAACAGAAGTGTCAACAGTCAGTTTATTTTGGCATGGGCCTTTCAGATATTTGAATATTATTTCATGAATGTTAACTTTTTAGTATGCTACTCTACTCTCATCTGTGCCACAGGATGATGAAATCATTTTAGTTAAAAGGAATTTTAAAAATGATCTGGTCCTACACTAAAATTTTTGAAACAGAATTTTCTCTTTGTAGCACTACCTTGCTTGTGTGCCTGTCTTCTCATTTTACTTAATGATGAAAAGAAGACTTTTTTGGGATTCTGTTGTCAGATTATAATTCTTTTTTTAAAAAGAAGTCTTAGAGTTAGGTAATTAGTTGTGTTGATATAATGCTTTATATTTTTTAATGGTCTTTATATTTGCTTTCTTGAAAGAGGTGTTGTAAAGGAAGTAGTATTATTATGCCAATTTTGTAGAAATACACACTGTGATGAATCAAAATTTCATAAGCTAATTTGCATTTTTCCACATTGCACAGTTTTATTACCAGTTCAACATTCTGCTATAAGTTTATTTTGGCCTTGAGCAAATCTTATGCTTCATGATGTTGAACTAGATGATTTTAAATACTTTGCACATTCTTAATGTATTGAATCTTAAATATTGAATATTTTCTGTTTGTATAACATTGAGTTTAGATGCTGTGGGAGATACCAAAATAGTTCTTGCCTTTATCCTAAAGTCATGCAGTTTAAGTCCACCAGCTGTTCCACTGGGGAAAAATGGGCAGTCTCCTCCTGTGCGCTTTACTGCCTCTATAAACCCACTTGAGGTTCAGCTGTGGGTCAATACTGACTCAAAAGCAAACAACAACATAGTTTATATAGGAAAATAAGGAATATTCATTAGACTTTGTCTTTTAAGTACTAACAAATGATACTGGCCATGAGTGCTGAAGAAGTTGGGAGAGGGAAGAAATTAAGGGAAGATTGTTGGAAGAGAAAAGCTTCTTGTGGAGGCTCAAAGCTAGTGGATAAAGCAAGAGAAGCCACGGAAGAAGAAACTGTAAGAGAGGAGCTTGATAATTCTAATATTCTAGAAGGTAGAGAGTTAATTTTTGAGAGTGAGGGCTTCTGAAGTTCCTTAAATATTTGTAGTCAAGGAATGTGAAGACAAAGATTATTTGTTTTAATAAAAGTAGCATTTTGTTTTGTTTTTTTCAAACATGAAGGAAAAGATAGTTTTATTAGAAAAGATATATATCTCTAGGACGAGTCAGCTCTCTGAATGAAAAAAAGTGGAGGAAAGATGTAAAAGTGATGTTTTCAAAGATAGAAAGTTAAACAGTAAAAGTAGTTAAAAGGGCAAATTTTGTGTTATATATGTATTACCACAATAAACATTTTTATATGATAAAAAAGATTATCTGAAAGAATTACAATGAGGAAGAGTTGTTGTAGTTGTTGTTAAGCACCCATCAAGTTAGTGAGCATATGATCAATAGATCTGAACCTTGCCCTATTGGGGAAAAAAAAAGAATGTTTTAGTCTTGAATATAGAAGCCGGAATTTGAGGAAGGGGATGGCTAAAAGTCATGGGTGTCAACTACTTTTAACAATTTGCGCAATGAAAGAATAGCTTGAGGAGGCAGCGGGACCAGTAAAGAGGCCACTGCACAGAGGGAAAAGAGCACTTGCGTACCAGTAGAGTCATATTCCTCCCGATTCAGAAGGCGATATTAAAGATGATTTATATTTGAAAATACTACATTGTGGTTGTTTTTGTAATATAATCTTTTCTCTCCTCTCTCAGCTTTGACATCTTTATTTAATAGCATGATATTTTACTTACATATATCTTTAAAAAATCGTTCTATAGAGTGTCCCTAGTTGTAACAGAAACTGTCGATGCAGGTTTATTTGGAGAAGGAATTGTGGAGAGTTTGATTCATGCATGGGACTATTTACTTTTGCAGCCAAAGGTAAGCAAGCATGCATCCTATATTAAGAATCCATTGTTTGAGCAGAAATTTACTGAAACGGTATTATGTTTTCAAGGCAATTTGAAATACATTTCCTACCTTCAAGGTATGCAGTGTGTACTTGGAGAGAAATCCACACAAAAGTCATTTATCAGTGTGTCTTCTTATATGCCCAAATGAAGTATTAAAAAACCAAAATACAAAATATCTCTTTGTTGTTGAATTGGAAACAGCTGATAGCTGACCCTCTAAACAGGTTTTCCAAGGTTGTACGTCTTACAGGAGGTTATCCATCTTTCTCCCTTGGGACTCCTGGTGGATTTGAACTGCCAGAGAACAAAACAAAACTCACATTAATTGGCAGTCTCCTTCCATGCGATTTGCTGCCTCTGAAAACCTGCTGGAGTAGTGAAGTCAGTTCTGACTTGAAGGCACACAGCAACAACAATGAATTCATAGACTTTGAGACTAGTTTGTGGAAGGCTTGATTGTGACATCCTTGAGTCAGCTCAGTGATGTCACAGATGCAAACAGAGATACTTTGGGCTTGAAAGCACTGCTTGCATTTTTGTAAAAATTCTCTAAAGGGTTTATGGTTGCAGCTGATTTGGTAGGGCTGGTTCATGGGCTTACTTACCAAGTGATAATTTGGAGATGAGAGTCAACTCAGAGACTCTGGAAGAAAGGCTTGGTGATGTACTTCTAAAAAATCAGCAATTGGAAAACTCATGGTGCTCATTCTACTCTGACACATGGAGGGTTTCCATGAGGTAGAATTTGCTCAACAGCTTCTTGTAATGTGGTGAAATGAGTTTGGTTTTCTTCTTTTTGTTCTGTGTAGCCTTTTTGTTTTCTACTTTCTTTCTGTCCTTTGTTTCTTTCTTATGGCTTGTAAGAAAAAAAATAATAGATGGCAGTGAAATAAAAGAATCTTTTAAAAGAAAAAAAAAAGCCCCTCTGCTTTTCCTGTATTTAATTATAAAGGTTTTTCTTAATGTCATAACTTGTTATAATACATATTTTGCAAATATTTGTATTTTTTTATTATGCTTTTTAGACTAAAGGTGAAGATAGTAGTTGTGAAAACTGTGGAAAAGTTATACCAGCAAGTGCTGTTATATTTGGGATGGCCGTAGAATGTGCAGAAATAAGAAGACATCATAGGTAAGTGACTATTTCAGTCATAAGTTTCTAATAGTAACCTCAGTGTATTGTATTTCAAGGATGATTTGTTGAATAGTTACTTGCAGAAAGATTTATTGTTTTCTGAACTTTGATTTCATGATTTTATGCCAGCCTTATATTTTCTTTTTATATTTATTTTATTTTGCTTTAAACTATATCTTAGGGGGGAGAAAACCCCCAACTGTAATGTATGCATTATAATTATCTTTTTTTTTTAAAATTAGTGTTGGTACAACCGGCTATTCTTTTGATGTATGACAAATTAAGTATGATTAACACTCATTCTAGACAAAAGAGAGAAAAAAATTGGTATTTCTGTGAAAAAAAACCAAAACAACTGGTTTTAATTATTTTACTTCTCTTATATTCCTCAATAACATTAAAATGCTAGAATGATAGCGTTGGCAATGGGCTGAACTTAAAGGAGTTTTCTGTCTTTGAGGTTCTAAGATTTACTCATCAAATATGATACAGTAAAACTTGTTAAAGTCAGAAACCTACAAAAGAAGGAAAGTCCAGATGTTTCCCACTAAAATGATAGAACAAAAAAGAACCCAACAAAATTATAGCAATAAAATCTTGCCCCTTAGTAACTACACTGAATGTGAATGATTTAAATGCATCAGTGAAGAGAAAAAAGAGTATTTAGATTGGATAAAAAAATAAAACCCATCAATATGCTATCTACAAGAGACACACATGAAAAGTGAAGATAAATACAGATGAAAAATCAAAGAATAGGGGAAAAAATACTGTTCAAATGGCATCCAGAAAAAAGCAGGAATAGTAATGTTAATTGCCAGTAAAATAGACTTTAGGGTAAAAACCATCACAAAGGATAAGGAAAGACATAGAATGCTTAAAGGGTCACTAGTGCAAGAGGGCATAATCATAATATCTATGCACCAAATGATAGAGCTGCAAATTACATAAAGCAAATGTTAACGAAACTTCAGTACAGTACCTTCAAGGAACGACAGGATGACTAGAAAGACACTGAACAAAGATACTGAAGAATTACACTATACTATCAAGCATTTCAATCTCATATGTATATATGTGTGGGTATAGATATATAGAGATATATAGGTATCTATCTATCTATCTTGATATATAGGCTAATGCACCCTAAAAAAATTGAGTACCCATTCTTCTCTAGCACTGTCCTTCTCCAAGGACTGGTCACTCCTAATGACATGCCCAAAATATGTGAGACAGAGCTTCAAAAATCTTTGTCTCCAGGGAACAGGACTGACCTATTTGTTCTCTTGGCAGTCCATGATGTATGTTTAATACACTTCTCCAGCACCACAACTCATTGTCCAGTTCTCAGATGCATAGCAAACAATTTGAGAAGACCATGGCTTAGATCAGGGGCACCTTCGCTTCTGAATTGACATTATTGCTCTTCAGCCTTCTGGAGAGATTCTTGGCAGCAGATTTTCCCAGTGCACTCGTTCTTCGATTTCCTGACTGCTGGTGCCAAAAATGCTGATTTTGGATCTAAGCAAGGTGAAATCATTAACAACCATCTATCATGACACTGCTTGTTAGCCCACTGGATCGTTCTTTTCTTAATGTTGAGATGCAGTCCATATTGCAGGCTGTCATCTTTGGCATTCTGTAGCAAATGCTTCAAGTCCTCATCAGTTTTGGTAAGCAAGGTTGTGTCATCTGTACAGTGCAGATCATTGATGAGTCTTCCTCCACATTCCTGTGGCTACATTCCTCTGTTCTGCAAATAGATTGAAAAGTTACGAAGAAAGGATACCATGCCGTTTTCAGTTGCTCTGTTAAGACAAAAGCTTCCTGGTCTAGTTACAGATGTCCTGGAAACACATTCAGGGATTCTGGGATTCCCATTCATTATCAGTATTAGCCACAATTTGTTGTAATTCACACTGTCAAATCCCTTTACATGGTTGATAAACATAAATGGACATCCTTCTGATACTCTCTGCTTTCAGCTATGAGTGGGTAGTAGAAGAAACAAAGATTGAAATACAGTTTCTTAAAATAGATGAGAATGAAAATACAGCTTGCCAAAACCTCTGGGACACAGCCAAAGCCTCTGGGATATAGCCAAAGTAATACTTAGAGGTCAATTCATAGCAATAAGCAAACACATCAATTAGGAAGAAAGGATGAAAATCAACTATTTAACTCAGTATTTCCCACAAACAAATAGGACAAGAAAAAAGCTGACAACCTCTAAAAGAAAGGAAATCATAAAAACTAGTGCAGAAATAAATGAAATAGAAAACAGAAAAAAAATGGAAACTATCAACAAGACCAGTAAATTGGTTCTTTGAGATGTTCAGTAAAATTGTCAAGCCACTAGGAAAGCTAATAAAAAGAAAGAAAAGACACAAATAATTCAAATAAGAAATGAAAATAGCTATGTCACAATAGAACCAACTGAAATAAAAAGATTAATAATGGAACTTTATTAAAAACTAGTATAATAGATGGAGAAGAGATAGAGATTATTAACAGTGTTTTCTTTACATTGAAATGCAATCCGTATTGAAGGCTGTATTCTTTGATCTTCTTTATCAAGTGCTTTAAGTCCTCTTCAATTTCAGCAAGGAAGGTAGTGTCATCTGCATAATGCAGATTATTGATGAATCTTCCTTTGATCTTGATGCCACATTCTTCTTAGAATCCAGCTACTTCAATAATTTGCTCAGCATACAGATTGAATAGGTATGGAGAGAATACAATCCTGACACACTCCCTTCCTAGTTTTAAATCGTGTAGTGTTCCCTGCTGTGTTCACACAACCATCTCCAGATCCTAGGTATAGGTTTTGCATGAGCACAGATAAGTGCTCTGGGATTTGTATTCTTCTCAATGGTAGCCATAACTTACTATGATCCACACAAATACATTTGCATAATCAAATAATAATGCACAAATAGACATTTTTCTGGTATTTTTTACTTTCAGTCAGGATCCAACCGACGTCAGCAGTGATATCCTTAGTGCTACAGCCTCTTCTAAATTCCACTTTGAACTTTGGCAGTTCTCTTTTTATATACTCTTCAAGCCGTTTTTGAATGATCTTCAGCAATATTTTGCTTACATGTGATAATTAGTGATATTGTTCGATAGTTTCCACATTCTGTTCCATTACCGTTCTTGGGAATGGGAACACATATGGACCTCTTCCAATCTGTTGGCTAGGTAGCTGTCCTCCAAATTTCCTGGCATAAACTGGTGAGCACATTCAGGAAATTTGGGGCTATCAGACTCACCATTCTATGCCAGGAAATTTGGAGCTATCAGATGCAAATAAAAACAACAATAAGATATCATCTCACTTCAGCAACAGTAGTGAAATTCAATAGGACAACAAACAACAGAAAGTTCAAGAGGGCAACAAACAACAGATGCAGCAAGGATGTGGAGAGATTGGAACTTACACACTGCCAGTGAGAATGTAAAATGGTCCAAACACTATAGAAGACAGTCTAACACTTTCTCTAAAAGTTGGAAATAGAAATCACCATTTGATCCAGTTATCCCACTGCTGGGAATATACTCTAAAGAAATCAGGCCCCTGCCACAAACAGATGTCAGCACACATGTTTATCATTGCATTATTCACAGTTGTGAAGAGATAGAAGCAGTCCAACTACCTGTCAACAGATGAACAGATAAAAATGAAAGAAAGCAAGCAACAACAAATTAATTGATCCAAAAACTCATTACATTCATACAAGGCTAAAACCAGGCTGCTCTTTGAGGCAAGGATTTTGAAGCTCTATCTCACATATTTTGGCACTTGGTCAGGAGGGACCAGTCTTTGGAGAGGAACATTATGCTTGAATGGGTGGAAGGACAGTGCAGGAGAGGAAGACCCAGCATGAGATGGATTGACTTAATAGCTGGAGGAATGAGATTAGGTTTGTCAGGGACACTGAAATTGGCTCAGGATAGGGCAGGGTTCAGAGCTAATGTACATAAGGTTACTGTCAGTCACAGGCGACTTGGTGGTACATAGCAACAATACAACGTAGGTGAGTATGGAAGATATACTGAGTGAAATATCTCTCCCAGTCACAAAAGGACAAATACTGTGTAACACTTGTTATAAAATAGGATTGGTTTGTGATAGAGGGGACAGGAAAAGAGTGGAAAAACAATGAACACTGCACTGGAACAGATGAAAAAAGGATTGTCTGTAAAGAATGTATGATTAGACATTAACAAAAATTGCAAACGTTGCAAAGTGTATTGGAGGAGGGAGGAGGCATGTTGTTAGGTGCTGTCTGTCAAGTTGAGCACAACTCATACCCCTTCTGCTTCCCTTCCCCCTCTTCAGTTCACCTTTTTTTTTTTTTAATATTTGCTCATTGTTGCACATTTATCTACCTTCCTCTTCGTGCCCCTCCAATCCTCTTTACTATACCTCTTATTCTTGGCTGTTATTTATTGTATGTATAATGCCTAATAGTATATTTTAATATATTCCTTTTAGACATTTCTTTCATCTGTTCAATGCAATGGATGTTCACTATCCACTCTTATTCTATTCTCCTCCCAGTCTACCATGTCAGACCTGCTTTATAACAGTGGTCCTGTACAGTATTTATCCTTTTGTGATTGAAATATTTCACTCAGCATGCTGTGCTCCAAGGACCCTCATGTAATGTTTTACGAGTTCATTGATTTTCAGTGTTGTGTAATATTCCGTTGTACGACTATTCCATACTTTTTCTGTCCATTTGTTAATGGCACTTGGATCATTTCCATTTCTTTTTATTGTAAATAATGCAGCAATAAACATGAGTGGACATATATATGTTTGGTTGGCAGTTACGGTTTCTTTAGGGTATCTTCCCAGTAGTGCAATTGCTAGGTCAAATGATATTTTTATTTTCAACTTTTTGAGAAAGTGCCAAACTGCCTTTCATGTTGGTTGCACAATTTTACACTCCTACCAGCCATGAGTAGAGGTTTCAATCTCTCCACAACCTCGCCAGCATTAGTTTGTTGATCTGTTGAACTTTGCTGTTGTCACTAGGATGAGATGATATCTCATAGTTGTCTTGATTTGCATCTCTCTTAGATCTATGGATTTTGAATGTTTCTTCATGTGTTTGTTTGCCATCTGGATGTCTTCTTTAGTGAGGTGTCTGTTCATATCCTGTGCCCATTTTGTGATTGAGTTTTTCTTGTTGAGGTGCTGGATTATTCTATAATTTTTAGATATGAGTCCATTATCAGACATGTTATTACCAAATATTTTTTGCCAGTCTGTGACTTTCCTTTTTACCCTGTTGAAGAAGTGTTTTGATGTGCATAGGGACTTGATTCTTAGAAGGTATCATTCATCTATTTTATTCTCTCCTGGTTGTAGGCTTTTCATTGTGTTTGGAAGACTATTCATACTGTGGATTAGGGCTTCCAGAGTTCTTCCAAACTTTTTGCTATTAATCTTGATAATCTTTGGTTTTAAGCCGAGGTCCTTTGTCCCCCTTGAGTTGACTTTTGTATATTGTGTGAGGCGTGGGTTTTGCTTGAGTTCTTTACAGATGGTTTCCAGTTTTGCCAACCCATTTGTTAAAAGGACTGTCATTTTCCCATTTAACTGATCTTATCTCCTTGTCAAAAATTAGTTGAACATAGAAAGATGAGCAGAGTTCTGGGTTCACAATTCTATTCCATTGATCTATGTGTTTGTCACTGTACCAGTACCATTCTATCTTTACCACCACAGCTGTGTAGTATGATTTGAAATCAGGGAGTGTGATGCCTCCTACTTTGTTTCTCTTTTTTCAGGAGTGCTTTGCTTATTTGAGGTCTCTTTCCACTCCAAATAAAATTGGAAATTGCCTTTTCCATCTTGTTGAAGAATGGCATTAGTATCTCTATTGAGATTGAATTGTATTTGTAGATTGCCTTTGGTAGAATTGTCATTTTCACGATATTGAGTCTTCCTATCCATGAGCATGATATATTCCTTTTTTTTTTCCCTCCAGGTCTATTTTTGTTTCTTGTAGTAATGTTTTGTAATTTTCTTTTATAGGTCTTTTGTATCTCTAGTTAGATTTGCTCCCAAGTATTTAATCTTGTGATTAACTATTGCGATGGGTATTGTTTTCTTAGCTCCATTTCAGTGTTCTCTTTGTAACTCTAGAAAAATGGGAGTTGATTTTTGTATGTTGATTTTGTATCCTGCTGCTTTACTGAATTAGTTGACTAAGTCCAGTAGTTTTCTTGATGAGTCTTTAGGGTTTTCTAAGTATACTATCATCTGCATATAGAGATAATTTTGCCTCCTCTTTTCTTATTTGGATACTTCTTAATTCCTTCTTTTGTGTTATTGCTATCTCTAAGACTTCCAGTACAATATTGAATAGGAGAAGTGATAGTGGACATTCTTGTTTAGTTACTGTTCTCAAAGAGAATGCCTTTAATCTCTTTATTCAGAATGCTATTACCTCTTGCTTTTGTGTATATGCTTTTGACTATGTTGAGGAAATTCTCCTCTACTCCTATTTTGCTGAGTGTTTTGTCAGGAAAGAGTGTTGGATTTTGTCAAAGGCATTTTCTGCATTAGTTGATAGAATCATGTGGATTTTTTTTGTTAGTGTGATGAGTTACATTGTTTTTCTTAATGTTGAACTATTTTGCTTACCTCTTATGAATCCCACTTGGTCATGGTGAACTATTTTTTGGATGTACTGTTAAATTGTATTGCCCAGGATTTTGTTGAGGATTTTTGCATCTATCTTCATGAGAGATATTGGCTTATAGTTTTCTATTTTGGTGGTGTTTTTACCTGACTTTTGTGTCAAGGATATGTTTACTTCATAGAATGAGTATGGGAGTATTCCATCTTTCTCTGTTTTATGAAATACTTTATATAAAATTGGTGACAGTTCTTTTCTGAATGTTTGATAAAATTCACTAACAAAATCATCTGGTCTAGGGCTTTTTTGGTTGGAAATTATTTTATTACCTGTTCAGTTTCTTTTATGATGAGTCTGTTCAGGTGTTCTGCTTTCAGTCTGTGTCAGTTTGAGTACATTTTTAATTTCTAGGTAATTATCCGTTTCCTCTTGGTTTTCATATTTGTTTGTTGTTGGGGGTGTTGTTATATGTTTTACATCACTTGAGACTCATAGCAACCCTATGTACAACAGCCCTGAACCCCGCCCTGTCCTGAGCCATTCTCTCTGACTCTGATACACCTACCCCCACTGCCCTTGTTACTGTATTAATCCATATCATCTGTGGTCTTCCTCTCCTGCACTGTCCTTCCACCCCTCTGAATATAACCTTCTCCATGAATCAGTCCCTCCTGGCCACATGCCCAAAGTGTGTGAGACAGAGCTTCAGAATCCTAGCCTCTAAGAAGAGACTTGGTTTCACCCTCTCTTTCACCTATTTATTTTCTTGGCAGTCCATGGTGTGTTCAAGACTCTTTTCCAGCACCACAATTCAAAGGCATCAATTCTTCTTCTGTCATCCTTAATCATTGTTCAGCTTTCTGATGTATACTAGTAATTGCGAAGACCATGGGCTGGATCAGGCACACCTTATTGTCTAGACTGATCGTTACTTTTCAGTTCTCTGGAGAGGTCCCTGACTGCAGATTTACCTAATGCAATTCGTATTTTGATTTCCTGACTGCTAGTGCCAAGGCTGTTGATTGTGGAGGCAATTAAGCTGTAACAGTTAACAATCTCAATCTCTTCTTCGTCCATCATGGATGAGTATAGTTTTTCATAATATTCCATTGTTAACGTTTTTATTTCAGTTGGTTCTGCTGTGACATTTCCCCTTTCATCTCTTATGCAGATTATTTTTGTCTTCTCTTTCTTTTCCTTTGTTAGTTTTGCTAGTGGTTTGTCAATTTTATTGACCTTTTGGAAGAACCAACTCCTAGTCTTGTGATGGTTTCAGTTGTCTTTCTGGTTTCTGTTTCATTTATTTCTTCCCTAATTCTTAAAATTTTATTTCTTTCAGAATTTGATGGGTTTTCTTGCTATTATTTAATAAGTATTTGTTATCTATTATTTTTTACTTCCCTTGCTCCTTCCTTGTTTATAAACTTTTTCCTTTTCATAATAGTGGTTTTATACAATGTTTGTCTTTTGTGACTGACTTCACTCAGTGTAGTATCAGCTAAATTCACCCACCTTAATGAATGTTTGATAAATCCTTTTCTGTTTTTCAGTGTTGCATAATACTCCACTATGTCAGTGAACCATAGTTTCTTTATACATTCATCCTTTGTGTAAGTTATTTTTTCTAGGCTCTTTATTAGATAGTATTACTTGATTCTAAAATATCCCATCCTTCTTTCTGCCCCACCTTTTTACTTCTCCTATCAGAGTCGCTAACAAGGAGATTGCAGGTATCTGTTTGCCAACAAATGTGCAGTTTCAGAGTCCAGCTTATTCTTCTGTAGATTCTGAAGAAACGATTGAACCTTATACAACCGAAAAGATGAGTCGAGTTCCAGGGGGATATTTGGCTTTGACAGAATGTTTTCAAATTATGACCATAGATTTCAACAATGTTCAGGTAAACAATAAAGTTTGGTTACTGCTTTTTAAACATTAACTATCATGCCTTTTGTAAGATAGTATATATGATAGTCTTACTTTAAAGTTTATGTAAATAGTCTACTTAATATGTAAATAAAATGTAACTAGAGTTTTCTTCTGAAATGATTAGTATTTCAGTTGTACTTAGTGAATAAGGAAAAAAAATCAGAAAATTTGTTGGCAGTGTATAACCTGCCAGGTGCTTTCATGTGCTCTAGTCTCTGTCAGGACAGTGCTGCAATAGCATAGGTATCCTTGTGCTGGACAGATGGGGGAAACTTATGCTGTGTCATTTTCTCTAATCTCTAGAATTCTAAACCAGGCCTGACACATATTTATGCCATTTTAGATTATTAATATTCCTTCAAATGAAGTGTTTTCCAAATTGTGTTAATTAGTGTAACAAACTACCCTGGTTTGCCTAGGTCATAAGGAGGTTCCTCAGACATGGGACTTGCAACATAAAACTGTAATGTTTGTTGTTATTGTTATGTGCTGTCAAGTCGCCTGCAACTCATAGCAACTCTATGTACCACAGCCCTAAACCCTGCTGTATCCTGTGCCATTCTCACTATCTCTTACACACCTTCCCCAACTACCCCAGTCACTGAATTGATCCACCTCATAGAGGGTCTTCCTTTCCTATGCTGTCCCTCCACCCTCAAAAGCATGATGTCCTTCTCCAAGGACTGGTCCCTCCTTGCAACATGTCCTAAGTATGTCAGACTAAGCTTCAGAATCCTTGCCTCCAAGGAGCAGCCTGGTTTAACCTTCTTTAGGACAAACCTGTAGAAGGAGGAGTGGCATCCACTCCATAATAGCTTGCCTCCGGAAACCCTATGAACTTGGAGAGAGGATGAAAGGCACCCAAGCGTCAAGGACTCTCCTTCATCGGATCGCTATGAGTCGCCTGCGACTCGACGGCACTTAACAACAGGACGAACCTGTTCATTTTCTTAGCAGTCCATGGCATATTCAATACTCTCTCCAACACCACAGCTAAAAGGTATCACTTCTCCGCCTATCATCCCTAGTAATTGTCCAGCTCTCTGATGCATAGCAGGTGATTGCAAAGACCATGGACCGTATCAGGCACACCTTAGTCTCCAGGCTGACATCGTTGTTCTTCAGTACTTTGGAGAGGTCTTTAACAGCAGACTTTCCCATTGCAATATGGCTTTTGATTTTCCTGGCTGCTTGTGCCAAGATTGTTGACTGTGGGAGCCAAGAAAACTAAAGCTGTTAAGAGTTTCAATCTCTTCACCATCCATCCTGATGCTGCTAGTTGGCCCAGTGGTGAGAATCTTTGTCTTCTTGATATAGAGCCTTAATCCATATTAAAGGCTGCAGTCCTTGATCTTTTGCAGCATGTGTCCGCCTCAGTTTTAGCAAGAAGGGTTGTGTCATCAGCATAACGCAGATTATTGATGAATCTTCCTCCAACCCTGATGCCACATCCTAGATAAAGTGTGTATACATTTTACTTATAAAATATATTTATAGTTGTGTTATTGTTGATTGCCTTCCAGTTGAGCACAACTCATAGCGACCCTGAACAAAAGCCCTGAAGCCCCTCTACAGTTAACTGTTGACATTTATCAAAGTTCACAGAGTTTCTGGAGGCATGTTACTTATGAAGTGAGGGCCACTCCTGTTTTCAAGGATTTTAGTTGTAACTATATATAAATTTTTTTTATATATAAAATATCTTTTTTACGCGCGCGCACACACACACACACACACACACACACACACACACACACACACACAGAGTTCTGGTGGCCTAGTGGATAGGGAGTTGTGCTGCCAATACAAAGACAGATGGTTTGAATCCACTAGCTTCTCTATGGGAGAAAGATGAACAGTCTCCTCCCAGGTGATTTAAAGCCTCTGAAAAGTTACTGGAAGGTCAGCTATGTGTTGGTTCCAACTGAATAGCAATAGCTGTCTGACTGTATGTATATACATGCATATATATGGAAGGATATTGGTGGATAGTGGGAGGATGTGTATTACAAAGGAGATACTTAAAGATGCCAAGAAACTGAACTAAAGTTCTATAAAGGATAAAACCTTTTATGGGAAAGCCACTCAAATTTTTTAAGCAAAATAGAACTTGCTTGGGGGATTGTTACTAAGTTTTTCTTGTAGCATAGAGCTAATTAACCATTTGTCTGTCTTTCTGAACTTTAAGAACATTCGTTTTCTGATGGTATATTCTGAAAGGAAATGAAATTCTTATAGGTGTCTTTTTATTATTTAAATCTTTTGCTTTAATTTTCTTTGCCACAGTGAAATCTTTAGCAATATTTTAATTTTGAAAGTATTATCTGCCAATTTAACACATTCAAGTAATTCAGAAGGACAGAAAAGAAAGGGCATAGTGTTTGTGTTCTTTTTCATCTCACACACATTGGACATGTTACTGGAAGAGGCTTTTCCTTGGAGAGGGACATCATCTTGTCTCCTTGTCCCAAAGTCACTAGTTTGGACTCTACTTTTCTCATCTGTATTTTCTACCCTTTTATAAATGACACAAACACTTCTTTCTTTCTTTTAGAAAGCAAAACAATACTTACTAATTTCCTCTCTCCTCAGTTATATTATGGACTACTTTAATAGCTTAATGGTTATTTCAAAATAATCTCACAGCCAGTGTACCAAAAGTGGTTATAGATGTGCCATGAAAGTAAGTGGTCACCTAAGGGCATTGAACAGGGTGGATGGAGTACTTACAGAGATGGAAATCAATGTGCTGTTGAGGCTTTATATATTAAATGTTTAAAATTCTTTTTAAAATTTTTATCAGGAATTAAAAAGTCTTGCAAATCAAAAACCTGCTAAGATGGATGTTCCTGTTACTAAAGAAGGCACACTAGATGCTATTGTGATTTGGTTTGTACTCCAGCTCGATGATGAACATAGTTTATCCACAAGTCCTAGTGAAGAAACCTGTTGGGAACAGGCTGTCTACCCAGTACAGGAACTTGCAGGTATATCCCCCCTTTTTTCTAAATATGTTGTTTTAATCCTTTAAATATTTGAGTTCGAAAAACAATACAGACAAGAAAGTTTTGATAATGAAATTTCCCGTTAATGGAGGCAGGTTAAATATTTCAGAATGTGATTTTTCTTATTCAAAAGTAATTTTAAGTATTTTATACATTTAGTTAATAGAGACTATAATGCAACTGTTCTACATGACTAAAAAATAATTTTGTGAGCTCTGACTATTATAAGTGGATTAGAGAATTGCTGGCACAGTTGTTTTGGGAAAATACTGGAGCAGTATTACTTTCAGTAGTGTTCTTTTCTGTAGAGAATCTTAAGGTGTCTATAGAGCCCTACCCCAGAACAATACATATGCTCATATATGCACAGAAGTTTGCAAACAGAGTCCATAGATACTTTTAGGAAAGTTCTAAATTAAAATATTTTCTAAAGGTTAAAATAATTTATTCTCAGTTTGATGACTGTCCATATCAATTCACAAGAATTATATTACATAGAAAAACTTCTGTAACAATTTTATTGGTACAGTTACGTTCTTTCATATCTTTTTTTAAAAAAATGTATTTTTGGTAAAAGTAAACATGCAAAACAAGTCCTATTGATTAGTTTCTACATGTAATGTTTATGGACATCAGTTACATCCTTCCTGTTGTTCCACTGTTCTTATTTCTGTTCTCATGATCCCATTAACTTGGTTTTACTGTCCCTCTAGCCTTCTGGTCTGTGCTTTAGAGTTGGTCATGTACAGATCATTTTTGTACTTATGGGTGACATTCTTTACTTTTTTGAGCTAAAATGCTATTAATTAAGAGATGACTTCAGAGAATAGTTTCATATCAAGGTTTAAAGAGTATCTCAGGATTTCATTAGTCTCTGGGATTCCTCAAATCTCAATGATTCCAGTAAGACTAGATTCACTTAAGAATTTGTAGTTCTTTTCAACATTTTTCTCCCTTTTAATCAGGATACATCTTGTGTGACCGAGATGAAAATGTTTATAATGGTAGCCAGCGAGCCATCATCTAGTTCTTCTCGTTTCAGGATAGAGAAAGCTGTGGTTCATGGAGGGAGTTCTGCAGTACAATTCTTTTGCTGATCCTTTTATTCCCTTCATGCTCTTTGCTATAGATAGATAGTCCTGTCTTAGAGAAAAATAAGTAGCTGATCACATAGTGAGCTCACATGCACCATACAGGACACAGTGCTCCATGGGGTTTCTAAGGCTGAAATCTTTACAAAGAAAGATTGATACATAGTTTTGCTGCTGAGTTGGTGGTGAGTTTGAACTTAAAGAAATGTTACTCATAAGGCTCTACAGTGTGCTGTTGTTCTTTTGGAAACTTCTTTCAGGTGGGGAAAAATGTCCTGTAAAACTAAAAGAAGGTTTGGTATTGATCCTTGAATTTATGTGTTGATTTCATTACCAAAGACAGACCCACTAATGGAGCTCTTGAATTTCCCCATTACGCTGATTAATTACATTTTCATACTTTTTTCCGTTTCAAGTTTTTTTCCCTTAAATAAAATCTGAGATTTTCCTAGCCTTTGGAGTGTCTTAAATGAATAGATACATTCCCTCCTGCCATTATTTAAAGGGAGCACACATTCCTGTATTCTTTATTAATCAGAAATTTTCTTCCTTTATTATTGCACAATGAAGACTACAGGATAAAACCTGGGGACCGTGTGATGATGGAAGTGTCTTGTCAAGATTATTACTTAAGAGTCCAGAATATCAGAGTCTTAGGTTTGGAACATGAGATGGATGGTGTGAAAAGTTTTTCCAAGAATAAAGAGTCACCATCTTTGGGAAATGAGGCTGACCTTTGTAGTGCCCTAGCTAACCTTCAGACCAGCCAGCCAGATTCTGGAGAGCAGACGTGTGTATTGGAGACCACCGAAATTGCTTTGCTTAATAACATCCCATATCATGAAGGCTTTAAAATGGCAATGAGGAAAGTGTTGTCTTCGTTGACTCCAGAGAAACTGTTACAGGCAATGGATACTCACTGTCAGAGTGATGAGGCCAACTCTGGAAGTGGACAGAAAGAGAGTTCCATACAGAGTGGACCTGACCCTCACTATGTGCTAGATGTGTCTGAAGGTTTCTCTATTCTGCCTCTGATTGCTGGCACACTTGGGCACGTCAAACCATACAGCTCTGTGGAGAAAGACCAGCATCGCATCACTCTAGACCTCATTTCTGAGGCCAATCACTTTCCTAAGGAAATGCTCGAGTTTTGGCTGAGGCATGTGGAGGATGAGTCTGCTATGCTTCAAAGGCCCAAATCAGATAAATTGTGGAGCATAATCATACTGGATGTCATTGAACCATCTGGGCTTATTCAGCAAGAAATAATGGAGAAAGCAGCAATATCCAGGTAATACATAAGAGCTAACCTTGGGATTGTTTAGGTTCAGACTTTGTTCATTCTTTTAGTTATTTAATGACATACACTGAAAATGAGTTGAGATGCCTGCATATTCCCTAAACATTGCTTTTCAGGAATGGTGAATAGGACTTGCCATTCTCTTATGTTCTCTGTTTGTGCATGTCATTAATGATTTTACTCCTACAGGAATATTGGAACATTGCATGGTAATGTGAAGAACTGACCCTGCTTAAGGATTGAGAAATAAATACACACACACACACACACACACACATATAAAGGAAAGGTAGAGATCGGTAAGAATAGATTAAGGGAAAAAAAGAATTGAATGAAAAAAAAAGAAAAGAAGAATAAGAAAAAAATTAAGAGTAAATAAGGAGAAATATAAAATTTAATCTTCTACTAAAAGAAACATGAGGCATGCATTAGATATAGTGGGTATTCGGAGAACCAAAGTGCTTCATAGGAACTGATCCAGGCCTGTTCAAGCAAAAAAAAAAAAGTTGATTTTATAATATATTTCTCTTCCTAAAGATAGTTTCCTCCTTTTTAGACTGTTGTTAGGTGCCATCAAGTTGAGTATGACTCACAGAACTCTGCTCTATCCTGTGACATCCTCACACTTCCTGACACATTAGAGCCCATTGTGCCAGTCACCGTGTCAGTTGACCTGGTTGAGGGTCTTCCTCCCTTTCACGGACCCTCCACCCTTTCCAGGATCATGTCTCTCTCCAAGCAGTAACCCTTCCTAGCATCATCCAAATTATGTGAAGCAAAGGAAGTGTCATCATTCTTGCCTCCAAATAGCACTCTGACTGTACCCTCTCCAAGACCCAGTTGTTTGTTCTTTTAACCATCCATGGGATGTTCAGTGCTCTTCTCCAACACCACAGATCAAAGGCAGCAATTCTTCTGTCATCTTTATTCAGTGTCCAGCTCTTAAATGCATAGGAAGTGATCGGAAAGATTATGGCCTGAATCAGACACACCATAGTTCTCAAACTGACATCACTACTCCTCAGTAACTGGATGGTTCCTAACTGCATATTTTTCCAGTGCAATGTATCTCTTTATTTCCTGATTGCTGGTACTAAGGGTGTTGATGGTGGATCCAAGCAAGATGAGGTGGTTAATAGTTTCAATCTCCTCTCCATCCATCATGATTTTGCATGTCAGTCCAGTGGTATCTTTATTTTCTTGACATTGAGATGCAGTCCATACTGAAGGCTATATTCCTTGATCTTCTGCAACAATTGCTTCAAGTTCTCCTTACTTGCAGCCAGCAAGGTTGTGTCATATACGTTTGAGAGGTGTTTTTTTTTAAATCCTATTTGTCAAATTTGAGGTCCATGTATTTATTTCCATTCCCAAGAAAGGTGATGCAGCTGTGTGTGGAAACTATTGAACAATATCATTAATATCACATACAAGCAAAATACTGTTGATGATCATTCAAAAATAGATAGGGAACGGACAGATGTTCAAGCAGGATTTAGAAGAGGCTGTGGCACCAGGGAAATGATTCATTACTGATGTAAAAATCTAGCTGAAAGTAAAGAATACCAGAAGAATGTCTTATTTGTGCTTTATTTACTATGAAAAGGCATTTGACTGTGTGGATCCTAACAAGTTGTGGCTGACATTGAGAAGAATGGGAGCCTCAGAACACTTAATCGTGTTCACGGAAAACCTATACCTGGACCAGGAGGCTATTGTGCGAACAGAGCAGGAAAACATTGCATGGTTTAGAATTGAGAAGGGTGTGTATCAGGGTTGTATTCTCTTTCCATACCTATTTAATCTCTATATGCTGAGCAAATTATTCAAGAAGTTGGGACTCTATGAAGAAGAGTGTGACATCAGGATTAAAGGGAGATTTATCAATAACCTGCATTTTTAGATTACTGGAGGTAAACCTGACTCTTGTAAGTTAAAATTGAAAGCAAGTTTAGGTACACTTGAAAGTCTTTCACTTATGCTACTAAGATCTGAAAAAGTGGCAGTATTTAATTTTGGGTAGTCTGGATTTTAGGATATTATGTATTTGAAGTATAACAACAGCAATGATAGCTCAGTGCCACAGCCTCTTTTAAACCAAGCTTTTATTTTTGGTGGTTCTCTGTCAGAATGTTCTAGATGTTCCATTCTCTAGAGATACAATTTTAAACTGATTTGCAAGAATAGTCATGTATGACTTTTACCAAGATTCACAATCTCAATCTCTTCACCATTCATCCTGATGCTGCCAGTTGGTCCAGTGGTGAGAATCTTTGTCTTGACATTGAGCCTCAATCCATATTGTAGGCTGCAGTCCTTGACCCTCTGCAGCAAGTGCTTCAGGTCCTCCTCAGTTTCAGCAAGCAGGGTTGTGTCATCTGCATAACGCAGACTGTTGATAGATCTTCCACCAATCCTTATGCTACACTTCTCCTCATACAGCCCAGCCTCTGGGATAATCTGTTCTGCAATAGGTTTAAAAGATACGGAGACAGGACACATCCCTGGCATATGCACTTAGCAATTTTGAACATTGCAGTGTTTCCTTGCTCTGTTCTGACGACTGCCTCCTGGTCCAAGAATAGGTTTCTCATTAGCACCATCAAGTGTTCGGGGATTTCCATTCTTCTCAGAGTCAGCCACAGTTTGTTATGACCCACACAGCCAAACTTCTTTACTCCCAGCCCATATTTAAATTGAGTTTCTGATCCAGTGTTACTTTTTTCCATGTGCAGGTTCAAATGCAGGATCATCCATTCCATTTTGTTATCTGGTCTTGTTAATGAATTAATTTGGAATGGTTTATTTGCTTGTCTTTTATGACACTGACTTTTTTAAAGAGTACAGGTTATTTTGTTGAAATGGCCCTCCATCTGTACTTACCTAATGTCTTCATGCTGTGCTCTAAATTCATCCTATCAGAAGGCACATGAGATCTTTTTATTACTGGTGATGTTGAGTTTTCTAAGATCATGGGAATACCAGAACACTTGATTGTTCTCATGCAAAAACTAGACTTAGACCAAGAAGCTGTGTGGCAAGGATGTATCCTTTCTCATCTACTCAGTCTGTATTCTGAACCAATCATTTGAGAAGCTGAACTGTGGCATGAAGAATGTGGCATCAGGACCAGCAGAAAACTCATCAACAACCTGTGTTAGGATACACCACCACATGTTGCTTACTTGCTCACAGTGAGGAAGACGTGCAACACTTGTTACAGATCAAAGACTACAGGATGTATTATAAAGACTACAACATGTTTTATATCTCAACATCAAGAAAATGAATCTTCACCAAGTGCAAAGAACTAATGGTGTCACTTTAAAGACTAAGGTACACCCAGTTGAAGCATGGCCTTTTCAGTTACTTCACACATCTGAAAGTTGGACAGTGAATAATAGCATTGATGCCTTTGAGTTATGATGTTGGAGAAAAGTACTGAATATCCCATAGACTAGCAAAGGAACAAACAAATATGTCTAGGAGTAAGTGCAACCAAGATGTTCATTAGAGGCAATGATGATCAGACATTTATTTCACATATTTTGGGCATGAAAGAGGGGTAGGTCCTTGGAGAAGGATATCATGCTTGTTAACCTGGAAGGCCAGAAAAAGACGCAGTGACAAACAATAAGCCTAAGCATGCCAGAGATGAGGATGCCCCAGGATAGGGCAGGGTTTAGGTCCTTTGTTCATAGGGTTGCTATGAGTCAAAGTTGACTGGACAGCACCTAACCATCACCCTTCTCGTGTCCTGGTCTGTTGTTTGGGATGTCAATTTTGAGCACTTGGTTTAAGCTGTTCAAGTTAGCAGGTTTCTTAACAGTAAGTAACTTTCCCCCACTTTGTCTAAAAGGCATTGTGAGGTGAAAGGCTGAGACTACACTATGTAAATATCCTTTCCCTCAACAGACTTCGTCCATGGTGACTCTTAATCTGAATCTGAAGACATTTGTCCAGTAGTTTAATTTCTCCCTCCTTTCCATAGATCATCATTTACTTTACATTCAGCTTGCTGGGAATATACTTGCAGAATGGTTTACAATTCTGAACCACTAGCTAAGAACTCAAAATTCATTACAATTCATTATGTATAGCTAATTCATCATGACTGGTACTGGTATTTGTACATTTTAAAATATTTTTCTTTCTCTAGGTGTTTGCTACAATCCGGAGGCAAGATCTTTCCTCAGTATGTAGTGATGTTGGGGTTACTTGTAGAATCACAGATATTGGTAGAAGAGAGTGCTGTTCAAGGAACAGAACGTACTCTTGGAATAAATATAGCACCTTTCATTAACCAGTTTCAGGTAAGTATCTAGAAGAAAAGTTCAACCAGTTGACTATTACCTTGTCTTAGTTTCTCTGTCCTTTGTTTTAGCAAGTCGTGCCCTTTAGGTGGGTTCGGATGGGAATGAGCTTCCTAGAGAGAAGAGTTGATGCTTTCCAACTAGGAATTGGCATAGTCCAAGCTGTGTGGCAATTTTTTTGCCTATGAGGTTATGAGCATGATAAAAGATTCCTTGAATTTTGGGTCTAACCTGGAAGTATCATTACCATTTACTAAAAGGGGAAAGAAAAAGATCAGATTGTCTTATATATGGGATATATGTGTGTGTTGGAGATAAAAATTTGGCAGTCATTTGCTTACGGATGGTATTTAAAAACCCTAAGACCAGATGAAATAATTTTGAAGTATGAAAGATAACAGGACTGAGTACTGAGTTTTGAGAGAATATACAGAGCTTGGGAATAGAAATCCACAAAGATGACCATAGTAGTTTGTAGGCTAGGTTGAGAAAGAAGAGAGTAACAGCTATGCTGTATGGGGATTAGCGTGCAAGCTGTAAATCTAGGACTTCTGATGACTTACAAGTAGGAATAAAAGGCAGAGTGAGTCCTGGACAGAATGTGGGGACACTAGGTGTTTACAATTAGGGAAGGTTAGATACCTTTACAAGAGTGGCTGATGTGTCTATGTCCTAGTTCATGGTGAAATTTATAATTTTAGGCAAAAGGCTAAAAGTTATTATTTGTTTTCATTGCTACTCAGATTGATAGGAGTGATTCTCAATTTGTTAACTGCTTAATAGAGATGTCTGGATACTTTAAGAAATAATAGCACCTAGATCCCAATCCAAATTGGTCTGGGTTTGGCATTGAGATTGGGATGTATTTTTTTTTTTTAAAAAGTTAAAAAGAATTGTTAAAATAAGACTTGAGCTGTATGAGGAAAATTAAGAATATACCTAAGTATAGATAGGTGATATCTACCCCAGGTATTTATCACCTGGACTGTTGTCTCACTATCATCTGGAAAAGGAGTGCCATCTGCTTTTTCTCAAGAGTGTGGATAAACAAAAAGAATGCTAACTGGGGTGGGTTTCTTATTTCCTGTTTCTTTTTTTGGACCTTCTTTCTCTGTCTCATCTCATTCTTCATTCCTTGATGGGCTAATGGTAAAAGGCAGCTTACGTTTCATAGATGTTTTCTCTTTCATCTCCTCTATCAATTTATGGTGTTTTGCTATAACATTCAATTATGTCTTTATTCTTTGTTCCACATGGTTTCTCTACCCTATTGGTGTCACTGCCAGAATTTTCACTCTGAACTGATTTTGTGAATCCAGATTTGGGCTTCTTAAGCTGTACTCAGCTGGCTGCTGTTTTTATCAGTCTTTTTATCCTGGAACTGGCTCTGGGAAGGGGCCAGCCTGCACACTGTGGGGTCTCCTCAGACACTGGGATTTTTTAAGCTCCTCAGATGATTTTATTAGTCAGGTTGAGAACTATTCAATTTCTTGTGAAAATCAAAGTGAAACCCACTATGATGTTATTTGGTGGAAGTAAAAAAAAATTCAATACTTGACCATGCAAAGGCATTTGACTATGTGGATTACAACAAACTGTAGCTAACCTTGAGAAGAAAGGGAATCTCAGAACACTTAATTGTGATCATGTGAAACCTGTACTTGGACCAGGAAGCAGTAGTCAGAACAGAGCAGGGAAACACTGCAATGTTCAGAATCAGGATAGATGTGTGTCAGGGATGCATTCTATCTCCGTACTTTTTTAGTCTGTACGCAGATCATTTGGGAAGTTGTTCTGTATGAAGAATGTGGCATCCGGAGTGGAGGAAGACTTAACAACCTGCATTACACACAGATGACACAACCTTACATTCTGAATCTGAAGAGGACATGAGGTGTTTGCTACAGAAGGTAAAGAACTTCATCCTTCAGATTGAAGTTCAACGTCAAGAAAACAAAGATTCTCAACACTGGGCCAATTTAGCAGCTTCATGATGGACAGACAAGAGATCTGAGATTATTGATAGCTTGCTTGGATCCACCATCAACACTCTTCGCACCAGCAGTCAGGAAATCAAAAGGCGAATTGCGCTGGAAAAGTCTGCTGTCAGAGAACTCTCCAGACTACTGAAGAGTAATGATATCAGAGCAGTGATGTGAGTCTGGAGACTAAGGTACGCCCAATGTAGGCCATGGTTTTCACAATTAAGTGCTGTGTCCGAAAGCTGGACAATATGGATAGAAGGATTGATGCCTTTGAGTAGTGGTACTGGAGAAAAGTGTTGAACATACCATGGACTGCCAGTTGAATAAACAGGTCAGTCCTGGGGAGGCTGAAATCAAGCTGCTCCCTTGAGGCAAGAATTTTTCATACACATTGGGCACATGGCCATGAAGGACTAGTCCTGTAGAAGGACATCATGCTTGGAATGGTGGAGGGACAGAGTAGGACAGGAAGATGGTAGATGAGATGGATTTATTCAGTGACTAAAGAAATGGGATTAGGTTTGTCAGAGACAATGAGATGAGCTCAGGATAGGGCTGGTTTCAGAGCTAATGTACTGCTTAATGATTGCTGTAAGTCACAGGCAACTCAATGGCACATAACAACAACAAACCAGTCCTTTGTTTAAAATGTTTGGTATTGTTTGGCTTAAAAAAAGTTTAATCTCCTTTCTCCAAGTAAAGGAACTAGATAATTGAGACCATGGCAAATTACTTAACCTACTATCTCCATACCTTTTCAACCTGTATGCAGAACAGATTATCCTGGAGGCTGGGCTCTATGAGAAATGTGGGGTCAAGATTGGTGGACGATTTATCAACAGTCTGCGTTATGCGGATGACACAACCCTGCTTGCTGCAGAGGATCAAGGACTGCAGCCTAAAATATGGATTGAGGCTCAATGTCAAGTAGACAAAGATTCTCACCACTGGACCAATTGGCAGCATCAGGATGGATGGTGAAGAGATTGAGATTGTTCACAGCTTTAGTTTGCTTGGCTCCACAGTCAACACTCTTGGCACCAGTAGCCAGGAAATTAAAAGGCGCATTGCCATGGGAAAGTCGGCTGTTAGGGACCTCTCCAAAGTACTGAAGAGCAATGGTGTCTCTCTGGAGACTAAGGTGCATCTGATACAGGCCATGGTCTTCGCAATCACTTGTTACGCATCAGAGAGTTGGACAGTGACCAAGGAGGATAGAAGAATTGATGCCTTTGAGCTGTGGTGCTGGAGAAGAGTATTGAGAATACCATGGACTGCTAGGAAGACAAACAGATACATCCTGGAAAGGGTCAAACTGGGCTGCTCCTTGGAGGCAAGGATTCTGAGGCTCCGTCTAACAGAACATGTTGTAAGGAGAGACCAGTCCTTGGAGAAGGATATCATGCTTGGGAGGGTGGAGGGACAGCACAGGAGGGGAAGACCGTCTATGAGGTGGATTGATTCAGTGACTGGGGTAACGGGACGGGTGTGTCAGAGACAGTGCGATTGGCACAGGACAGAGCAGAAGCAGAGTTTAGGGCTGTTGTACATAGGGTCGCTATGAGTTACAAGCAACTCGACGGAACATAACCACCACCACTACCTAAATCTTGTTCCTTTTTCCTGTAGCACTGAATAATTAAATAATAAATGAGCTAATAGATATACATAAAAGTAAAAAATTTTATTTCGTGTAGGTACCGATCCGTGTATTTTTGGACCTCTCATCCTTGCCCTGTGTTCCTTTAAGCAAGCCTGTGGAACTGTTAAGACTAGATTTAATGACTCCCTATTTGAATACCTCCAGCAGAGAAGTAAAGGTAAGGCCAACATTGTAAAATAATTTTCCTAAATTCAGTGAAGTTTTAGCTACTTTCTTTGAGGGTCTAAATTTTATTTTCTGAATATAAAAAAAATGAATTTGAGAAAATACTCACTCATTGCATTGAATCAAAAGCAACTCTAGGTGACCCTCCAGTGTTTTTGAGAGGCTATAACTGGCACAGAACAATGCCCGGCTGTTTCCCTAGAGCTACCTGCTGGTGGATTCAAACCTTTGAGGTGACATCTTTGAAAGGCAGCACAACTCCCTATGAACTAGGCCACCAGAACTTCCTCAAAAAGAGTCAGTGATTGATTTGCCCTTTAAAGTTTTGTCTGAAATTGACTAAAATAGAAAGACCATCCAAGTTTATGTACTTTACTTATTCTCATAAAACTTTCATAATTTTTATGATTTCTTAAATTTCATAGGTTCACATTTGTAAATCTGGCAAAGTGACAGCCATTCCATTTTGGTATCATATGTACCTTGATGAAGACATTTGGCTGGATACATCAAGTGAAACCTCCCACTGGAAACAAGCTGCGGTGGTTTTAGATAGTCCCATCCAGGTAGAAATGGGAGAGGAACTTGTACTCAGTATCCAGCACCACAAAAGTAATGTCAGCATCTCCGTAAGGCAATGACTGGCAGTGTAATGACAGACTGTTCAGTTAAAGCAGCAAGAAAAAATTATCTGGTCTGAATTGATGGAATTGTAATTAAAGTGACGTATACAAATCCAATCTCTTGTTACGGTCAGATATTTTTAACATCAATAAACTTACTTTAAAAGTCCTGATTTGTATTATTATTAAAATACTGGTATAAGTTTACTTTTTGGAAAAGGTTTTGTCATCATTTACTTTTCAAAATAGAAAATTTATTGATTTCCGTTGCTTGATATTACTGTAGGTTAAATTCTACTGAACATTTAACCATGTATTATTAAACTATAATGTAGGGAGCTCTGGTAGCCCAGTGGGAAGTAGCTGCACTGTAATCCTATAGGTGCAGAGTTCAAATCCACCAGATGCTCTGCTGGAGAAGGAGGGGCAATCTCCTCCTGATGGTACAAACACAAAAAAATAATTTTTTTTTTAAAAAAAGCTATAATGTGAAGGAATCTTTATAGTCAATCTTTATAGTCATGTGTTAAAAAATTAAGCAAAATAATTTTTTTTAGGCATTTTGGTGTTTCATATTTTTAATTGGTTAACATCTATATGTAGGCTTCTCTTACATACTCAGCATACTTTCTGGGGGGTTGTGTGTCTACTTGAATAAAAAATTAAGCTATCACCTAAATACAATTAAGAGAGTTATAGGAGTTAGGAAAGCAACCCTTTAGGAAGCAACATTTCTCTAGCCTGTTCTGGCCAAGAAAACAAAGATGACGACACAAATTCAAAAGAATTTCTCTTCTTGAAATAAAATCAGTGAAGCTTTTGTAAATATAAATGAAAATAGACACATAAAGATTTATTGTTAATTTACTGTTAAATCAGATCCAACTCACAGCTGACATTCCAGCAAGTTTTCAGAGGCATTTAATATGGCAGGAGATTGCCTATTTTCGTAGAAGCAGCTATTGGATTAGAAATGCCTGACTTCAGATTGGCAGGGCAGTTCCTTACAAGTAGGCCAGACCACCAGGGCTCTAAAGAGATTAAGCACAAGGAAATGGCTCACATGCTTGTAGAGACTGGCGTGTTGTCAGTCTGTGGGTTAGAACCCAGCATAGATTTCTCCAGACTCAACGTAGCTGTGGATGCTAAAGAATCCATTGTTGGCAGGTAAGGTGCAAACGTCTGGCTTTGGAGACTGACAAATCCAAGATCAAAAGATAAGGAAAGCTGCTGGTTGAAGTCGAAAGAATTGGGGGTGTAATGAGCCAGATCAAAGAAAGTCTCTTAGTAATACACATCTGATGAAACTCCCTTTCTACTTACTGGTGGTTGCCTGCTTGGAATAGATCTCATCATTGAGGTGGTGACATTATGTAAGGTCATCTCAAGAAAATGCTTCATTCACATCAGATCTTATTGAGGGAATGGCACCAGAACTGCCAAATCAAGGAATTCTAAGCAGCCAAGCAGATAAAGAACCTTAACCAGACAATCCTTTTTTATTTGTCTGATACACTCAATGGAGAATACAATTGCCTAAATTTTGTTAAGCTTAGACTAAAGAGATACTTATTATGCCTTGAATATGTATGCTAAATTCAATAAAGAAAATAAGAAAATACATCTTAAGACTATCTAGCCCTTATAACCACCAATATATACCCAGATTTACTTTCAGTAGAAATGTCTGTAATGACTACAGGAATAACGACTTTGTTTTTTTTTTTTTGCAAGAACAAGAGGGATTTTATTACAAACTCTTGAGCAGGACTCTACACACACCTTGATGCAGCGGCCACGTGGCAGAGCCCACGACTTTGTATTTTAAACACAATCCAATGATTAGAGAAACATCACCCAAAGTAATAGTATTTTCTGGTTGTGGTTTAATAATTTTAATAAAGAACACACACAGCCAAGATTTAGATTCTTGCCCTCTTTTAATAGCACCAGATAAAGAGAGGTTACATTTCTATCACAGGTTTCTTACTTTTTCTTCTGGTCTTCAAACCAGTTCATTGTTTTCATCTGAAAGCTATAGGTAACCTATTAATCTATTTGTAGTGTTGCAAATTATGTATTTTCATGTTTAGAGGGTTTAAGATGCCTTAATATTAGTTCCTACATTTTCCTCCTAGTAGGAATATAAGATAATGGTTATCACTATACCACTGTCTGATGCAGTTAAGTTCCAGAGACCAGGAGGTTAGGTTACAGTGGAGGGTGACTACAACATTATGAAACTTTCTGATTATCACATAACTGCCTAGCCAGTGAAGATTATAGTCTAGCCAAACTTCACGAATAACCTTACCCACTACAGATAGTGTTGCTTTCTCCTTGCAACTGAGATGTGCATTACTGCCAGACTTAAATCATTAATGCACAAAATGGTCAGATTTTTTACTATCATAAATGAAAAATGTCAAGTAAGAGAGATGGTAAATGCGTACTTTAGTTAAAAAATTTTTAGCTTCCCCATCATCTCCTTAAATGTCTTTATTGCTGTGCCTCTAATCCAGAAATTTTGGTTAAAGCATTGTTTGGGGTTTATGTTTTAAATAATGAAAGACATAAAACATTACAGAAAATAAATTATATATTCTTATTTATTTAAAGACATCCATTGAGAAATAGAGAAATAACTGTTAGCTTATATGGCACATGATTAAGTTCCACTAGTTCATGTTACTGAATTATGCTTCCTGGTAACTCCAAAGCATTATAGTCATGCAGCAATAGTAGAAGGCATTGGTTTGGTTTGTTTTTTATGTCCATACTCTTGATAAAGCAGTGTAACATCAAAAACATTTGGTTGGCGTCATTTTCTACCTTATGAGTATGGAATATCCTACTGTTAAAAAAATCAAGTCTAAGCTTAGGAAATTTAGGCTGATATACAAAACATAATTATAGAAGTTCAATTATACCTGGCTTTCACCTATCCTCATGTTGCAGTTTCCCATTATTTATGGCTTGTCCCAAGCACAAAATCCAGAGCAGCGGCACACCAGGTAATGAAACAGCAATGGTAGGAGCACAGTTTGCTGTCACACACTGTTCAAGAGGCCCCCAATTTATCTAAAAGTTCTTTTTTCTCTTCTATAGTATCATTAAACATTTCCTCACATATCTTAGCTGCAATCGGTGTAGTCTGGGGGGTCACAGTGTGTCCAAACCCTTGGTAGTGACCCATAGGTGAAGATGGCATAGATGAGGCAACAGAAATTGCATCTTGTGATGATGATGACAATAAGCTTGTATGTTCATTTTGATCTTGATCCTCAGGAAAAAATTTTTTCCTAGGATGTCCCATAACGGTTCTTCCTTTAAAGTAATAAAGATTCTATGTTAGCCATTTTTTTTTACCATTTACTATTTTTACCATTAATAACTCACCATTCTATAAAAAAACTCCTCACTGTCCACCCCTAAGAGCCTTAAAAATGGGACTGCTTTACAAAGTTTTTTTCATCTCTTAAAGTAGCTACTAAATTATCCTAGGGGGGGGAAAAAAAGACTCCACAAATCTGGACGAATTAAACAGATGGTACTTACCAACATGTCTTACTTGTTCAGAAATATCATCTCTAATATCTGAAATATCCCACATGGCAAGAAAAGAATCAAAGCATGAACCTTCTTCTGCTTCTTGGACATAGGGTTTATATGAGAAAGTGTAGTGATGAGCAATTGCAGCAAGGAACATCTCAATACAGATAATAAAGTCCTACAACAGTAACATGAGCCATTTTTAGTTTAAATCTAATTTTTTAAAGCTTGCCCTCTATCCTTTTTCACAATTATGTGATAGGTTTCTCTTTCATATGATACTTTTTTAATACTAATTTTTAAAAATAATTATTCCCTCAATATTTTTTTTTAAAAAGGACAAAATATCTGTACTACCTCAAATCAGGAAATTTTAGGAAAGCATTCTCAACCCACAGCCCAAGAACTAAGAAACACAAAGTCAGATTTCACTGATTTTGATTCAAAATTAGGTTTCTTATCTATGAAAAATAAAATCTAGGTTTTACTCTTGAGTCTACTACAAATTATTATTACAGTCAATTTTTCTAGGTCTAATATTTCCATTTTTGGTAGAGCTTTCAGATCAAGAAAGGACTGGCCATCCACATCTGAAATAGGAGGCCTCTGAAAACCCTATGGACAACAGAGAAACATGGATAGTTATGGAATTACAGGTAAAGCCCAGATTAGAAGTCAACTGCACAGTGACTGCAGCAGTGGGTTCAAGTATGTCAGAGATTGTGAAGATGACAGAGGACAGGACAGAGATAAAAGATCTGTTCTTAGGGACGCTATGAGTCGCACTCAACAACACCAGCAATAACAGTTTCTTTACTTAAAAAGTAAGGATCATATAATATACCCTGTATATTGTTAAATTTAATGGAGATAATGTTATCTATTTAGCAAATAGTAAAATTTATACAGTTCAAAGATAACACTACTTACCTGTAGCCCTGTAGCCACGGCTTCTACAGTTTGCCATTCCCATGTATGCTTTTCAGAAATAACGCCAACTTTTACCAACAAAGCGATAACTACTGCTTGCCTATATATTAGAAAAAGGTAAATGCTAAATCTCTATAAAGCATAAAATTAGCAGTTGTTAACCCCAGTGCAACCACCACTACTACCATGATGCTAACTACAATCCTACCAGGCATATTCCTTTTAGGAGGAAACATTGTACTTAAGTACATTTGTAAATCTACACTTGTAGTTTCATCAGATGAATTTTTGTTACATAGTCTAAGGATATCTTGCTTTGAAAGTATGCATAGGTAATTAGGTAAGGTTTTCCGATAATACCCTTTACCATTTTTTTTTCTTTTTTACTTTTACCATTTCCTGTAAACCAATCCATCTTGTTGGGGATCTTCTCTCTGACCTTCCACTTTCCCAGTACCTCTTCTAACAGTATGCCCAATGAAGTACTTATTCTGGTTGGTTTTTAAAGTAGTTTTTTTAAACCTAAATTGTTTGAATTACTAAATCTAGAGACACCAACTAAGAAAGGGTCTAACTTCATCATAAGGCATGTGCCAAAATATTTTAAGCAAACTGAGGGACACAATTCCAGGTTCACTTTAAACAGTCCTTTAAAAAACTAAGAATATTTAAGAGAAAGCAACAC